AACATTGGTTTCTTGCCTTTTTTGCTATGGACGTGAGCTCGTTCAATGATGAATTCGATTTTTCAAGTGACAATAATCGACGATCTCTTAAAGACATAGTTCATAAATTCAAAAAATTCGATTCAATCTCATCGTTTAAAATTATACGTTGCAGAATGCTACACACATCACACACAATACTACGATTAATATATATGATGACTGCAGACACGATAATAGTTTCAAGAAAGCATCCATTATCAAAGATCAAGACCTTATTTCAGAATTTTATACACAAAATGAAACAAACTTGGTACGCGACAGTCGTGATTGTGATATTGTTAGCGGCTGATTTTTTCTATCGTAGTGCAAAAATAGTTAGTGTACGAGTTATGACGTAATTAACATATCAAATGTTAAGAATGCAGATGCTTGGATGTCAAACACCAAGTGGGGTAATGCCTGCAAATGAGTGAGCATGGGTATGAATGAGTAAGTTTGTCATTTTGAATGATTCAGATTCACATCGTGGTTTTAATGTCGAAAGACAACGTATTCATCCACTTAATCCAATCAATATAATAAGCTATATAAAACATTTCTAATTTGATTTCATTGATAAACAATTTAACCTTCAGCTGGTTGCCGACTATCGGATCCGATAAAATGTCAATAGCTTGACAATGTTAGATACTTAATGAATCCGATAAGATCTTATTCGGTAGTTTTGATCGGAAGATACTTGTTATGGTACGAATATATTTTTGAACACAACTAGAATCTTCTTTGATTCGATAAAAAATATCATAAAAGAAATAATGTCTTCTTTTCTGTTCACTACTAAGGTCACTCTTCATAATCAAAATTTTACTTAGCACAAAGTGAAATGTGTTTCTTGAAGTAAAAAGATCTTTTCTCAATAAATAACTTACGAAGTTTGTTCTTTATATCATAAAAGATATCATTTATTCGAACTCGACTAAAAAAATTTCTTGAAAAAGTATTAGATATGGCTTTTTTGTATGAAATGGATGAAGTTGAATATATTTCATCGTATATCTTTTAAATACATTGGACTATGTTCATTATTCACTAAATATATGTTTTCCATTCATCATGAAATTATTATTGAAAAGCTTTCTGAAAACTGACAGTACTTAACATCTTTTCAATTTTTCGGCTTTTATATACTTCAATATGGTTGAGATCATAACATGGTTGTGTAGATGTGATTGTACGGATGAATATTGGCATAATTATGGGTGGATTTGTCAGACTGGAACTGAATGGACAGATAGATTTGCTTCACACCAATTCAAATGCATCAAAACCTTAAAAAAAGCGATCTTCTTCTTAAAGCTGGTCTTGAATCGACCATTTGTACATGATTTCTTTCTATACACATGATATCGTACCAACTACAGATTAATATAACATTGACTGAATGACTGCGCATGTGTACAACAAGAAACGATATTAAAGAGACTTTTGGAAATTTGCTTAAATAGTTTTTATCAATTTCATTCTCTTTTCTATACACAAATATACATATATATAAATATATTTCAGATTATTCTCAATTATGTTAAAAACAATTAGAAAAACAAGATGCATTTATTCAATATTTTGCTTCCTATTACTTTTCGCTCTCACAATTGTTATTGTCTCTATCTCACAAAATTTAATGCTACCAAAAAACAAGTTGAAGTCATTAATTCCAAATGTATTGAATGTTGACAAAAATCAAATTAACCAACAACACTACACAAATGTTTACGATATCAAAAACATGTTGATTTCTTCAATCGTGGAAAAATCTTTACTAGCAGTAGAAAGCAATAAACATACTGTAAGTTTCACAGATTCAAAATTTACTCATCAAAATAAAACATTAGAAACAACTGTTCAATGTGTTGGCTCATTATATAATCAATCTTGCTTGTATCATAATTTGTATTATGTTGATAGTGAATTTACGATTTTAACAATAAAAGGACAACATTTGCCTTCATACTCCGTACGAATAGACGCCTTTGTACTATGGCCTCTAACACCAAACAAACGTGTTTTTGATTCATATTCTGATCTTGAAACTTTTGTTCGTACTGTTATTGATCCAAAGATAATTCCATCTGTTACTCTTTACTTTGGTCAATATTGGCATGATAATATTGGTCATGCACTTTTTGATGGACTCTACCCAGCATATGTTGCACTTATTCGTTTTTCTCCAAGACATCTTCATCCTTTTCGCATACTTGCTCGAG